CTGTACCTAACCAGGGATTCGGGGCAACTTGATACCATCTTTCTAGACCTCAATGCTCCTGTTTGCCAAATTGGGAGTTGTGGGGTGGTGTATGGATGGAATGTTTGTGTCCTCCCTTGATCCTCCACAATTCATACGTTGAAGTCCTAATTCAATGGGCCTCTATTTGGGGATAAGGCCTGCGAGGAGGTGATAAAGGTGAAATGAGGCTGTAAGAGGGGAGACCTTAATCAGAAGAGAAACCAGAGCTCGCTCTCTGCTCTCTCTGCCGTGTGAGCACACAGCAAGAAGGCGGCCAGCTACAAATCAGGAAGACAGACTTCACCAGAAACTGGCCATGCCAGCGCCCTGATCTTGGACTTTTTAGCCACCAGACCAGTGAAAATAAACCTCTGTTGTTTAAGCCACTCAGACTATGGTATTTTGTACAGCAGGCTAAGCAGACTCACACAGGTAGAGATGACTAGCTAATTAAAATGACAGAATAATTTACAGTTTATCAAGCACTTTAAATAAATTTTACCTTCTCAGAGAAACTCTAGAAACTGGGAAGAGCAGAGTGTTATTTTACAATTAAGGAAGCTGAGTATTATTTTATAAATAAGGAAATAAATACCTTGGACAGATTCAAGATCACAAGGCTACCAAGTGGAATTCAGTCAGACAGCAAACCTGGGTCTTTAAAGGTATCTTACTTATAAATGGCTGTGGTTTTTTTTCCAGCATCATTATAATGGATGTTTATGAGTTCTAGTTTTAAGATGTCCAGTATGTCAAATTTATTATAAGTAATATATTTATTTTTTCCCTTTAGAATTGGAATAATCATTTCCTTCGTTCCAGCGGTTGTCAAAGTATGGTCTGAGACCAGCAGTGGGATCAGAGGACTTAGAAGTGCAAATTTCTACAGAATTGGAAACTCTGGGGGTGAGGCCCAGAAATAAATGTTCTAACAAGCCCTTCAGGGGATTCTGTGACTGCTAAATTTTGAAAACCACCGCTCTGGTCTATGTACATTTGTTCCCCTTGTAAGTGGCTGACATTTGACCTTTCCCCACCTCATTTCCTGAATATATATATATAGCTGAATTCCTGAATATACAGCTGCAAGTCTGAGTCTACAACTAACTAGATCCAGGATATACTGTGAAAAGCATTTTTGAAATGCTTGAAACTGTAAATTCAAGAACCATCATATAATTGTAACATTCTATAATTTTGTGTTATCTCTTATAAGTCTGCTTGGAATTTGAAAGTATTCTAGAAAAAACTCTATCTTAGTCCAATATATCACAAACCTTGAATTAAGCTGATTCTGTTCTAATTAAAAATAGTAATTTAAGCTAGAACAAATTTATTATTTACTCCAAGTGGATAATGCTTCTCACCAATGTTTATAATTCTTTACTCAAGGTACCTGACCATCTATTCCTCCACTCCACCCCTTAAATCTCAGCAACTTCAAAAGCAAATTCAATTATACATGAAATATAGTCCTAAACAAGATCTGCCCCCCCAATCAGGAAAGACTATTTTAAAAAATAATGAAAATGATTCAAATATAAATTTAAATTTTTTCTTTCAATATTTACTCTAGAAAGCCAAATATAAAATTCACTAATTATCAATTTTTTATTATAATTATATATAAAATAAGAATATATAGTTACTTTATATATATATAAAATGAAATACATATATTTTTATGTCAGATGTTTGAGCTTTAAAGGTATTAATATTTTACTTTGGTATGTTTTATATGATTACTTTCCTATGCTTGAAGTCTGAAAACTCTAGGGATTTCTAGTGCAAGATATGGACTCCAATGTAAATGTGGTAACATTTATATTTAAAAGATATTTATGTGTGTGAATGTGTATGATTACATATGACATGGTATCTACTACTTTAGAACATCAGTACTAATCTAAGAATTCTGTGGAACATTTTTATATGCATCTCAAAATAAATTTTGCCAATATAGTTTCACGAAGAGAAGCACAATATTATCTTTTAAGAACTAAACCTTACAACACTTCTAAAACTACTTTTTCTCATGTAAAAATAATACAGAAATCACCTTTAGCCTCCTTAAAGGTGGGCAGCCAGGGAAAACAAAATCCACATACTCTGTGCTGTTTCTGTTATTAATTTGCTTATATAAGCAATTTGTGGGCTCTCCGTGTATAAGTGCAAGTCTGTTTTACCACAGGACTGATAAAACAGCATATAGCTTGCACAGTATTTGTAGAGGGACAGCTTCTGAATGACAGATTTAATGAGATTAGTAGATATTTGCCCTGCACAGCACTGCAACTATTTTATCTGTCTTGTTTGGATTTCCTTTTGCACTTACTAAAAAAGCTATTTGCAATTACATGAAGATGGATGGACAAATTTCTGCCATGTTTCTGAAAAGATACAGGAAGAATAAATGCAACATAGAGAGCCTTCACATAATATATATATAATATCTATAGATGAAGCAATATTAAACAAATGTATGTTACATACACACTTTTAATTTTGATCTCTTAAACTTAGGAGGAATTTTTTTGTAGAAAAAACTAATTAGAGTAACACTAATTAAAGTGGTTCCCAAATATTTTACTTTGAGCTATCAACATTGTGATGTTTCAACCTAGGATTCGCATAGAACGTTAACACCAAATAAACTTTCCCAAAAGGAAGGGCTACTCTTACTGCCAACAGCAAACACCAAAGCCAGCTCATATTCATAATTACTCATCTTTTGAAACATGTTTTGACATGAATGACTCAGCAAAGCTGGGCCACTGCCAACTGGTGCCAACTGGTGCAATGGCCCCAGACGAAACATAACTACAGTGGCAAATGATGACTGAGCAGATCAAATCCTGCTGCATTTGATCCAGGTGAGGAAAGCATTATTTTCTGAAGAAGTAAGAAGGTTGGTTCTCTTTTTTAAAAGATTCTTTGATAGTTAATAAAATGCGTTGAGGCACAACATAAATTGTGTGAAAAGTACCATGAGAAGAAAAGAAAAATGGGCTCCCTTGGGCTTTCCATTCCAAAGATCTCAATGTATACCTATATAGATTTTCTGAATCTCCAAATTTAGTTAAAACAAAAAGAAGTCTGGGGTGGGGAGTGGAGAAGAAAAGCAGCTAAAGAAGTACAAAAAGGAGTAAGAATTTAACTTCTACATGATTAAGGAAGAAATAAAAAATCCCTAACTTTTAATTTTAATAGAGAAATGTATATGTGTGTTTTCATAACATACTAGTTCTTTCACCAGGTGGGTCCAGTCCTTGAATCAGAATGCCAGTCTGTAGGCAGGATTTGTGGGAGATGAAGACTGCACGCCCCAAGTAATTAATTGGGCACAGTTAAAATGATAGCTAATAGCCCAGCAGAGCACTTGGGCTCCATCCCCACTAATCTTATTAACTAAACTGACAATTTGGCACTAAGTAGAAATTACAGGGCCAAATCTACCCACTCCCCTGATTACTAAGGAGTAGGAGAAGGAAGATAAGGCAAGAAAAACTGGAAGGTAGTTTGAGCGAACCCTGGAAGATCACCATATTCTGCACCTCCTGGGGAGATGCTTTGTTTGGCCAGTTTTTCCCCTGGACCATTTCAGCGACTTCAGCAGTTCCAGGCCTAACAAGCAAGTCTCTAAGTCAGCTGCTGCTGCTTGCTGTCTTCTGATGGTCTCTCCTTTTTTCAGAACTATACACAACAGCTCCTTTAATGCAAGCACCATGGTGCATAACAAACTGCATGATTAGGAAACTGTCCAAATTCAACGTGCCTTTCTGTAGCTTGCTGACTTCTTTCTAACCTCTTCATCCGCTCAGGTCCCTTTGACTATTTCTCTATCTCCACCTGAGCTTACAACACCTTCAAAACCAGTGCCACTTACACATTAAACAGACGTGCAATTATCCTGTCTACTGATAATTAACAAAGACATTGAGGGCTGAAGCCAAGTCAGTGGCATGAGCTGGACACCTGCCATTACCTGGTATGTCATTGTTCATGGTCTATTAAGCAGTTTTCATTTCACCTTATGGGCCCATATACAATCCAAGCTAGATGTTTCTGAAACTACATGCAGTATTAAAGAATATTAAATAGCTTCTTCTTTCTTTTTTAAAAAATAATCTCTAAATTTATAGCAGAACAATCTCACAAAGTAAATGGGGCAATATGTATGTTTAAAATTTGTCAGTTTTTCAGAGCAAAATAAAATGAACAAAACAGCAGTAGACTCCTGACACTGAGAAGTGACTGGTGGTTACCATGGGGGAGGGGCTTGGGGTATATGGGTGGGGAGGGAGAGGGGGATAAAGGGGCACAAAACCTCAATCATAATATAAATTAGTCACAGGGATTTAAGTATAGCATAAAGAAAACAGTCAATAGTTCTGTAACACCTTTCTATGTTAACAGATAGTAACTACACTAGTTGGGGTGAGGATTTAATAATGTACATAATTGCTGAATGAATCACTATGTTGTGTACTTGAAACCAATATAACACTGTTTATCAACTATATTCAATAAAAAATCATCTAAAAAATAAATCTCTCAGTTTTTTAAGGTATTTTGTCCCTCTCCTAAATCATATGCATTGTTTTAACACTAATGGTGGCTTTCCCCATTTTCAAAATAATATACTTTGTTTCTTGTTTAAATATTTTTTCCCCCAAATTATTATTGCTGTATTGATTCATTTTTCAAGGGGTGCTTTTAATTTTCCAAAAGTACTCTTATATGGTATTACATTTTTATCATTCTTATACAGAACATACATGTTGGTATCATGCAGAAGTCAGTGGATGAGAGCATCAAATGGGGAGGCTTCGCTGCTCTCAAAATCTATTTTGTCATGCAGACCTCAGTTAGACAGGCTAATACAGCTGGCTGGCTGGGGAGGGCTGAAAGCTCAAAGGGCTTCAGTCATCAAAAATCTACAGTGCAACAGTAGAAAATGTATGTAAGCATTCACTTACCTGGGTTTCATCAACAATTATTTCGAGGTCTTCATCACTGCTTAGTTTTCCATATCCTTTTTCTTTACTTTTCTTGTGAAAGAATAATTTTAAATGATCATTTAGTTTTTAATAATGTTAATTTCCACTTGATACTTTTTAAAGTTAAAATTTTTACTTAGTAGTGTTCACTACTCATAATATATCATTCTTTATGTCACTTTCTCATGGACAATAGCAAATGTTTTCATTGTTAAACTGCTGGCTTATAATTATTCATTAAGTATTTCTGCTCAGCCTCTTCTATCCAAATTATGCCTTTAATCCTTTTCTGAATATTGCTCTGCTTTTTTTCCCCAATTCTGTAGTTTCAGTAAAGATGCTTTAATACTTTGAGACAAATAACCAATTCCTTCAAGAGTCCTGGCGCATTTTTCCTGAAGACTGAATTTTCATTTAGTAATTATATGATGTTTAAGGCTTCAACTATTAAATGTTATGCTTTAAACTCCTATACATTTAAAAAATAAGACAAGTATTACACAACTCAGATAATGAATCTTCAGATTTTCTACATTTGCTTATAAATCTGATAAAAACTAACTTTGGAAAAAACAACTCAGAAATACTTCTTAAAATATAAAATAATTTTAAAAATTAGGTAGTTTGAAAGCTGGAAGAGCACAGATCATTTTTTAAAATATACCGTTATTGGCATTTTGCCTTTTTCATTTTATCCCCAATGACCACTTCTCATCTATCTCCCACATAGCAAAAGTTGTAAAGTTAGAAAAGGACATAGATCATGGGAGAAAAACAGTATGTTTGAGTCTTTTTTCTTTCTTTCGCCCAAAGCACTGGTTGATGTGAATACCAGAAATGCCACATTTCTTCTTCATAATTTCAGGAATCGGAGTACCTCTGTAGAGGATCAGTAAGAAAAGGCAAAGGATATTCACTACATAGTTAAATGTAATCCAAGGTTATTATTTAAAAAAAAATAACCCTTGTTTTATGTATTAACTGTATCAACTTGGATTAAGGGAATTAAAAATATTTCTTATGTTTGCACCTATTGTGCCATATTTAGGACCTCATCTCACTGGGGGCAGAATTATATCCTTCAGTGAACATGACATAAATCTTCTTTACACTGTGGGACAAAATTCTTGTCTTGTTTTTCCCCTATAACATTTTAAAACCAGATTCTCACATTTCCTTCCAATAAACATACCTCCTATTATTGTGTTCTCTTTCTATAATAAAGAGATTTCTGAATCTTCAAGTATTAGGATGCAAAAGTAAAATCTGATTCTCATCCATATATTAATGAATCTAGCCACTTAGAAGAGCACAGATGGCCACAATATTCCTCTCTGTTATTCTTGCCCTCATTTGAGGCTCCATTTCAGAATTGATGGAAAGCAAAAGAACAAGATTGGTTTCAATCAAGCTGACTTCCTTCCTATCACTTTGTTTTGGTATCCTTTTAGGTCACTAGTTGCCATGAGATATTGTCCAGAGGCCCTCTAATGCAAAACATTTAGAAATGCCTTTCTGAATATTGATCTGTATACGTACCAAGTAGCTGATCTGCATGACCCAATTTCTGGACAAAAGGACATTAAGTAGAGATGGAATGTGGGTCCTTCCATCCATTTCACTGTCAGACATCCCAGAATTCTTTGCACCAGCGACAGTGGCTTCATTGCCAGAGCTTGCTAACCAGAGAACCACAGATCTTGCCCAGCAACAGTATTTATAAAGTACGGCAATACTTCAAGTATCCCTGAATCATTGTCTTGACTTTATAAATATTGTTAAATTTTGGCTAGCACAAAAAGCCACTGAAACTAAAATTTTCTTTTCTAACTAATTTTTATCCAGGCGCTTCTAATTTAATGACTGCTGGTCTAATTTATTGCTTAAAAAAAAACCCCATCTATTATTAATTATATACATCTATTTCATCCCCCACACGGACTACTCAGCCCCTTTGTCCTCAGCCCCTTTGTCCTAATCTCTCTCCATTTTCCCTTTTTAATGCCCCTTCCCAGACTTTCTTGTGATTAGCAAATCACTGCTAATTGATACAACATTGTCAGCATTCACAGAAGATAATTCCAGACTGCAATTTCTGCCAACACCAAATTCCACCTTTCCAACTTAATCCCAGCTCCTTCTCTAATTTAGTAGTAAAATTTCCTGGGAAAAGGCTACATCAGGGAAGAAGATTATATATATATCCCCAACTACTGTGAGTAGAAGTTGGCATTTTCTAAAAGTGGGAGGAGGCATTTAGAGTCTGACTTTGTACTTAAATTCCTCGTCTCCGAACAGCAGACAGCTGTACTCAGAGTCAGAGCCTTACAGTTTTACTCAAGAGTTAAGCAATAATTTCTAATTCACCCCATAACCCCAGGGGGATTAATCCTTTTCTAAGCCATAATGGCCATTCGCTCACTTACTGCTTATTTCTAGTGCGAGCATAATCCTCTTTCAGCACTCAGCTTCCCACTTGGACTGCTTAGGTCAGCCAGCCCAGGCGGGGGTCTTCAGCTCTCCTCCCTCCTCCCAGCCGGGGATCCCTGTCGTCTATCTGTGCACTTTTGTCAAGCACAAAAAGCAACTCCAGAACTTCTGCGTGGCCTTTCACATTAGCCAAAGGACTGAACCACAAGGAGAAAGCAGGCTAACCTCTCCACGGTCCAAGCGTGGGGAGGCAGGGCTTGTGTGGGAGGAGAAGCCGGAGTGCAATCACTTCCTGTGCTCCGCCCACCGCCCCGGGCAGACACTGAGCTGAGGCTTTCAACTGAGGCAGTAGGGTTAGGCCTCTCCGCCCTTCGGCTAGCACGCTGCCTGCCCATTGCCAATTGTACGCGCTGCGCTGCTCACCTACAGGCGGCTGAGGAGGAAGCCTCCGTGCAGTGCCGCTAAAAGGCAAGGACTCCGAGGTGGGAGAAGTGAGGGGAAAGAGAGGGGAACAGGCATCATTTGCCTCACTTTAAGAAGCTTGCGGCTCAGGATGTGGCCAAGGGCCTAATGCCCAAACACAGTATCTCCCATTTCTCTCCATTCTAAATCCTTTCTGAGTAATTGGAAGGAGGGCCTATGTAGTTACTTGTTAGTGCTGATAACTTTTTTACTACTACTGAGTCAGATCTGTAGTTTTCCTAAGATCAGTGAGCTTAACTGGTGACCTTTCCTTTCTGCAGACATTCCACCATCTCCTTAACCCTGTCTGCCTCCTGCTACCTACCACTTCATTCTCTCCAAAAGTAGAACAGAAAGGTAGGTTTTATTCACTTGAATTAAATAAGCCATAAGGCTTGGAAGTTAAATAGGAAAACAATATATGGCCACAGATACAGAATATATTACATAAGAAAATTTTGCAAGTAAGTAACAATAAAACAGCAACAAAATCTGATGGGACAGAGACCAGAAAAGTGAAGCACACTATGTTTATTTTTGAATAAGAGTTTATGAAAGAGTAACAGGTTTAATTAAAAGATACTAGTTGTGTATGGGTCGAATTAAAAGGATTCTTCACACTCATTAGGAATGGCATACATAAAGGACATTTTGAAAGGGAAAAAGAACACATGATTTAGTTAATTGTACAAATTAGCCTCAATTGCAATACTTGCCCAACTATAGATGTCAAAATAAACATTAAAGTTAAAGATTGAATATATATATATTTCAAAAGAGTGATTACTATTATTTATCCAAGACTGCAATGAATGATAAATAATAGGCCTGAATTTGTTAAAGCACATTACAAGAATATATAATATAGACAAAAGATACAAAAACCATCCTACTCTCTTCCTCATGGTTGTCAGTATCACTATTTAATTCCTATCTTCATATTTTTCTTTTCTTTAATCCTATCCTCCTTACCACCTCCCTTCCCACAGCCTGCAAAACTGCTCAGTTTCCCTGTCCTAAAAGATGGCTTCCTCACATCTTTCCCCTGAAGATATTCATTTGATCTCCTTTATCTCCGCATTGAACTTGAAAGAGTGGGCCATGCTCTCTAGCAAGTTTCTTCTCTCTTTACTCCTAAGCCAGTCATAATCAGGTTGCAGTTTACTATAATTGCATTCTTGAGAGTCACCAATGGACTCCTAATTATCGAATTCTCTAGCAGTCCATGTTTAGAGCTAGTTATATGAATTAGCCCCAAATGCAATTTGTGATTGACTACAGACGTCAAAACAAATGCAAATATTACTTCTTTCTGTGGTTCAAGTTTTTATCAAGTATTTTCAGAAATGTCTTTGCTGTTATTTACACTATTACAGTTGTTAAGTGGTATTGCCACCTACCGAATAGAATATTAAAAAGAGGTAGAACTGGGAAAGGAGACGATGTTCCGAGAAGGTACTTGCTGAGATGGTGGTATCTTTGGAAAGCTCATCCAAGTGCAAAGATCCAGTCTGCCATTTGGATATAATCTCAGGAGAGAGATATGGTAAGGTCATAGTGACTGTTGGGGATAATTAAAATTGCAGAGTGGATGAGCTAATTTAAAAGAAAATGTAGAGACAGAAGAGATGAGGACTAACGCCAGAGTCCTAGAGAACTGTTACACTGAGAGAATGGGCCAAAGAAAAAACCCAGGGCAGGAGGATGAGTAATAGTGGTCATAGTATAAAAGAGAACCAGGAGAACAGAATGGATGAAGTTCTTGATAGTGTCAAGTGCTGATGACAGTTTGAGTAAGGATGTGAACTGCAAACTTCCATTGTATTTTGTATTTTTGAAGTCATCAGGGACTTTGGGAACAGAAGATTTTGTGAAGATGGAACCGAGATTAAATTAATGACTACACTGGTAATAAGGGAGTGAAGGTAATGAGAGAGGACTTATTTTCCTTTTAAGAAAGCTTGAATGAAAAGGGAAAGAGGTAAATTTTTCTTAAGATGGTAGATCTCAAATTCAGTGTTCTTACCACAGTTTAAGAAAAAGGGGGGAAGAGGAGACAAAAATGCTAGAGGAAAGACAAAAAATACAGGGAAAGAACATTGGAAATATATATAGCTTTCCCCCCTTCCCTTGTGCAAAGGTACTGAGCATGTTTATAGTTCAAGAAGGAACTAGAGAAGAAAGTGAAAATGTAAATACCAGACAGTGAGGGGGTATGATTCATGAAGCAAGAAAGTAAAAAAGAACAAAGTCCCCCTTGGGAAAAAAAATGCATGTTTCTCTTTAAAAACTTAAATTATGTAATATATATTTATAGAAGAATAATCTATAAGGATATATACCAAATATTATAAAGTCCTTTCCTCTGGGAGATGGAATTATGCATGATCTATGTGCTCTCTTTATAGTTGGGAGTGCTTTTTTGAAATATGAATGAATTTCTTTTATAATATTAATAAAAATGAGTAAACAAAATGTAGTAGCTTGAGAGATTCATAAAATTTCCATAGGAAAGATTCATTTAAAGACTACTCTTCCTTTATTCTGTTTCTGGAGGAATAAGAGCTTGTTTTTTTTTAAAGATAAATAGATTCACACTACAGTTATTGCCTATGTCCCTTGTGGCAAGTGTGGCAGGATGATGGAGTTAATGTTTTGTTTACTGCATTTAATATGCCTCTTTCCCCTTGACTCTCCCTTATAATATTAAGCTTCTTGGTTCTTTGATATCATTTTGGTCCCCTGTCTCTTCCTTTTTTAAAGATCCACCGTGTCCAAACAGCCACAAACACCATCGCTGTGGCAGCCCAAGAAACAACAAAAGGAGAAAACAGGAAATGAGGGAGAAGGAGAGGTTTCTCCCCTAAGGCCTGGAATAAGAGCGGGAAAGTGTTGCACTGTTTAGGACAGAAGCCTAGACAGACCTTTAAACAAAGTAATCACCTTACCAATTAAAAAGACAATTTCAGGTCTTTTATTTTTCTTATATATGGGAGAAATCAACTTCCTGAAGGGAAAATGTCATCATTACAGAGAATCATTTGCAGAATGGGTTTAAGTCTGGAATTTTTTAGGAACAATTTTTCTTTTTTTAAAAGACATTCACAGTTGTGTTCTTTTTCCTCCCAACTGTGGTCATGTTATGATAAAACAAAATAGCCACAGGGTGCAATTTTTTAGTTTTGGGTGAGGCATGGGCAAACATAATGTATGGCAATCAAATTCAGCTCTAAAATTATGTTGTTGGGTGAAAAAAGAAATATAAGGACAACAAGTATGTTGATGCATTTTAAACCTTGCTTTCAGTCATATGCATATGTCCAGATATTTAGGGATTTAAAAAAATTTTAAGGCTAAATCTAAGTGGAAAAATAGATATTCCAGTTATTTACTGGTTGGGTAATAAAATAGAAATGATGCACTACACAATTTCTACTATAGCCTCACAGTCCCTCCTTAATGCTGGCTTTCCCATCTTTATGGTGGATATTGGTTGCAAGAGAATAACCTGAAAAGTTTCTAAAGCTACTTAAAAAGTATTTTCTACTCTCCAAAGATGAGAATTCTGCAGCATAAATATCCACTACTCAATCTTATGTTGTACAATGACATTTTCTTAAGTATACATATCCCATGGTTGGTATGCACCTTCTATATATCTTTTCCAATAATTTATCATGAGAAGTTTCAGCCATCTGTCGAAGTTAGAATTTTACAGTGAGCATTTGTTTACTTACTACCTTTTACCACTAGCATTTTATTATACTTGCTTTTTTGCATATGTATCCATCTACCTGCTGTGATATATTTTGAGACTATATTACATGCTATCATATTTCTACAGTTTTTTCTCCAAGGTTTATTTTATTTAATTTGCTCTTAAAGCTCTGAAGAACAGAATCATTGGTTCAGTAAACTTCCAAAATAATAGCACTAAAAGATCAGGATTTGTTCCCCGACAGCAAATTGCCGCTTTCATTTGAAAAGCAAATCAGTGAGCTACATTTCTAGCATTAAGTGCTAGAAAGACATCCTATCAATGGGATTAAGGAAGAGGATTTCTGATCAAAGGGCTGAGTTTTTTTTATAGTTCTCATTCAAAAGAAAGTGATAAAAAAAACTCAACTTTTTGAGGCAAAACCATGGTGTGATAGGCAGTTCTAGTTGATACTAATCATTGCTTTTTCAATTGCACATCCTTTGATCGTGGATGTTTTCTGCAACAAACTTCATGTATTCTTGGCTATATAATAAGTATTCGCCTCTGGAACATGTAGCCCAAGTAGCAAGCTTTGGGCCAGGGCAAGGATGGCTAATGGCTTCTCCAAGGGGTCACATATGCTCTAAGGAACACTACTTGAGTGGTTTATTGAGCTATAATAAGCAGAAAACAAAAATTATACTTGACAGTTCAGTTAAGTTATATTCAGCAACATTCCACATAACTTTGAGGACAATAAGTAAACCCTTTTTACCTTTCCCTCACCCCCAAACCAAACAAAAGCTCATTGAAAGAAAAAAATAAAAAATGATGTCTTTCTTAACTGGAAAATTCTGAGTCCAATACTTTAATCAGGATGGTTTCTTTCTCTACAAAAAATCATTTTCTCATTTCCTTTTAGACTCAACTTTTGAAGCTATAAATGTAGTGTTATGTCATGAAACGACTGATATACAAAAATGGTTTTCTGCCTGCTGAAGACAATAGTGATTGCATACATTTTAATTTATTAGATTTCTTCTCATTGCATGATATTGT